CAAGGTCACGGGGTGCCTCATTGTCTGTGTCGAGAGGGCCACACGACTGGTGAAGTCACAACAAGGGGCAGGGAAGGAGTATGTGTGTATCTTCAAACTCCACAGTGTGGTGGACGATGAGAAACTTGTATCACAGGTGATTTGGCAACACATGCTATTAGAAAACGTCAACAAATTTTTCTAAAAAAATGTTAAATTGTAAAATTTTCTTGAAGTTAGAATGTGCTAGGGCTCTTGCTTTCTATTTATTTAGGGTTCATAAACCCTCTGTTCACTCGTATAAAATGTTCAATAATATGAAATATAAACTTTTAAAAAGTATCTCTGTTTTTGTACATCAAATGAAAGATGAATAATCTGCATGTAATTTTCTCTGACAGAAACTGGAGATGATGACAGGGGCATTGTTCCAGAGACCGCCATTAATTTCTGCCGTGAAGAGACAGCTGAGAATTCGTACAGTGTATGAATGCAAGATGCTGGAGTACAACAAAGACGACGCAATGGGTAAATAGAGCATTGATTTATCCTCTAACTTGTATGCTAGAAACTTCATCACATTCTTTATGAAATTGTTTTGACCTACGTCTTTGTGTTGGTGGACATGTTTGCTGACAGGCAATTTAAATGCATGATAATCAAAACAGAATTTCAGATAACTTCAATTCTTTTATATTCTGTACTACATAACCTATATATGAGGCAAATTTATAATCTGCCAAAAACTGTCAGTGACATTAATGGTGCTTTCACACCTTACTCAGGTATTTTCTGGGTGAGCTGCGAAGCCGGCACATACATTAGGACCATGTGTGTACACCTGGGTCTGTTTCTGGGGGTCGGGGGTCAAATGCAGGAGCTCAGACGAGTCAGATCTGGTATCATGTCCGAAAAGGTGGGTGTGTGTGATGAAAATTGTGGTGTTTTAAGTAGATATCAAAATTGTGTTAATTTAACATAATTATATCCAAAGGTTTTGTTTCTGTTGTATGGATATTTCTTCTGACAAAATTTAAGCATTAATTTGAAGGAGAAACAATTTCCAGAGGGTTTTTATAAGCCCGTCTTAAGACGGGACGTATTATGTTATAGGCTTCATGTCCGTCCGTCCGTCTGTCCATTCCTGTCCGGCTCTTAACTTGAATACTATTAAGCCTAGAATTATGAAACTTTGTCAACTTATACTTCTTGGGTAGACGGTGTGTCGCGCACAAAAAGTAGGTCGCTCTGACCTTTAATAAAGATGCTATAGCCAAATATGGAAAAATCCTGCCCGGCTCATAACTAGAAAACTATTAGACCTAGAGCTTTCAAACTTGGCAAACCTATACATCTAAAGTAGAAGGTGTGTCGCGGCCTATTTCAAGGTCACTGTGACCTTTAATTAAAGTGAATATTTTTTAAAATCTAAGTCTTTTAAATTTTAAATTTCATAATCCTAAACAATGTAAAAATATAGTTGTATGCTTATTAAAAAACGTTAAATTAAGTAAAAACTTATTTTTTCATTATATACTTTACAGCAATCTGTAACAAATGTTTATGCTTTGAGAGGAATTCAGTTTGTCCCATGGGCTTAATTATCAAGCACTGGTCAAGAAGAATTTTGATAGCAGAAATTTGCATGTCAAATTAGAGAGAAATTAATGAGTTTATTGTTAGGAGCTAAGAGCACCTCTAGATCTGATGCAGATGTTATCTTAATTCATCTATTGGGAGTTGGGCATAAAGAAATGGCTTGTGTTGTGCTAATTAAGAGTTCTTGATGGCTAGTCCAGATAAAGATCTTTCAATAGGTGTAATTAATTAAAACAAATTGATGTTTTAGTATGATTAAAACTAAATTAGTATTGTACAATATGATTAAAACTAATTATACATGTGTTAATTGAAAAAAACAAAATTATATTTCAATTTTTATATATTTGCTACAAATTGCAGTCATGTCTCACTAGTATTATTTGTTATAATCAATCCCTACACTGTAAGTCTCTTAGAGATGTATAATAAGAAATGGAAAATAGATAATTGAAATCTGTGTCAATCTGTTAATCATGGCTACCTGATTTTCCTGCATCCTAACCAATTTATGATTATTGAACAATATTTGACGGGCGGGCGTATCATGCTGTGGCGGGGCACTTTATTTAAACAAGAAACCAATACAAACCAAATTTTGCATAGACATAATACATTCAATGTTCTTTAATATTGTGAATTCTTAAATATATATCTTTCATATTAATAATACTGGGACGATTTATATGAAGGCCAATATGGTCTGTCGGCGCATGACCAAAAGTCGGAATAATTTATGCATATAACTATTAAATTTGTTTTTATTTCTTTGGTGCTATGTAAAAGATTGAACTGAAATTTTAATCACTGAAACCGGAATCAAAATCTTTATAATATATCAAATTTTCATATAAATAGCATTAGAAACAGATGACTGGTGGCATGATTTTCAAAGTGTTGTTCGAATTGAGATTAATGAAAATGGCGTCGTCGAACGCGTACATGGCGCACGGAAATGTAATAAATTGTTTTGGTATGTTTTATATTCATCAGAAAAGGGGGAAAAGAGTACAGAAAGGACATTACACACTAGATTTTAATCGAAAAGGTTGCTTTTTAATAGTATGAGATTCAAAGATAGTTTTTTTTCCTCTCTATAAAAAAAAAACAGTTATTGCATGTAAAGTAGAGTACTGATTGTTTAACGCAAACATTTGGGAACGGCCTGAGCCATGAACGTCGCAAAAGAAAGGTGTATTCTCGGCTACCTAAAATGTAAGGTGATCTTTCAACTAATTTAATTTTGACTTAAATTTGAATCTGCTTTAGAAAACGGACATATAGTGAATTTAAATCATTCTATTAGACAAAAGTGGTTTTTCACTATGAAAAAAATTCATTTGGATTTTAATAGCCTCATTTGAAGCAGAAAAAAAAAGATCATGACGTTATGACAGACGTAAATTACGCTTGCTTTTGTGCGCCGATGTACATTTACATGGTTTCTTTATTTTTTCATAGTTTTGTTATTAAATGTGGTATCGTCATGAAATTTGAAAAACATGATCATAAAAAGTTACTCTGTGCTATGACAAGAAGAGAAATTTGATTTAGCAAAGAGAAAATAAACTATGTTCCCTGTCTACGAGTTTTTGGGACAATCCTCGTATATGCCATGTAAGGGGTTAAACACAACTTGCAAAAATGAATACTTAATATTAAGAAAATATGATGTGAGATTTGCATTACTTAAACTCACTCTATAACATTCGTTGAGGTGAGCTTCGTAATCTTTGATTACCTATGTTTTCTTCTCTGAATCCAACCTCAGTGCAGTAATCCATTAGGGGAAAACTTTAATGTCTTAAAAACAGCTGATTTGTGTGTTTTTAATAGGTCGTGGAGGAAGTGATGGCTTATTTAGTGCCAATGAAAATCACATACGTGAAAAGATTTTTTTACAGGGGGTCATGAAGTTGAGTGTGGAAATCAGAGTTCTCTGTGGCGCTCACTAAAAGTGGAGCTGTCTTCAGGACCTATTTTGAATCCTTTCACACTATGACAGGATATCATTTTTATTCAATGAAGTAATTACTACATTTGAAAAGTAAACAACTGTAATACCAAAATATGCTGCATCTGTTATTAGCAATTCAGTAGTTTGAAATCTGTGACTACTTATTTTACCATGGCAATTAGCATTGTACTTAAATACATCAAAATAATTGGTTTGCAGCCAATAAGAAATATTAAGTGAGTAAAATGCCATAGGTATTTCTTAGCAATAAAAGTTGGTTCACAGTACCATCCTTGCAATAATGGGAATTTATGCTCTCTTTTAGCCATAGCCCAGATGACTACAGCAGTGATGGCCACATGTGATCACGGAGTTGTGGCAAAGATCAAAAGAGTGGTGATGGAGAGAGACACTTACCCAAGGAAGTGAGGGCTGGGCCCGGGCTTCTCAGAAAAAGAAAATGATTCAAGCAGGAACGCTAGATAAATATGGAAAACCCAATGAGAAGACCCAGCCAACTGGAAAAAGGGTTATGAAGATTTCAAAGTGTTCAACTGTTCATAAATAATATCCTCAAGTTACAAAATATTTTTAATTGGTAACAATGAATATGAGTTGAAAAAAGTTGATTGATAGTATATGCAATCTATGTATCTGTGCTTATTAGAGCTAAAAGCATCTTTTTTTTATTAATTGGTCATGAAACTCAAACTAATTGCAACAGAATTTCTCTTGTTACAAATAAGGTAACTAAAGAATGTGCAATAGAAATGTAACAAAAATATAGAACAAAATCATATGACAAGAATCATTGGGGGTAAATCAATTATCTTTGAAAATTTTTATGGAAAAGGGGTATAACTCTTGTCTTTTCAGAAAATTTGCTTAAAATTTTAGTGCATTATTTTCCTACCTTGATTAAAAGGAAATGTTATAAATTTATACCAAATAAAATCTTTTTCATCTTTACAGTGTAAAGAAAGAGATGAAGCAAGAACCTTCAGAAGAAACAGTTGTCAACTCACACAAGGTAATGAATTTGTTTATCTATCAAACATCACGCAAGATGGCTGTAAATTTATTCATTGCATCTTTGGATATCTTTTCTCTTTTAAAGTTCTTGATACACTTGCTTAGAGTTTCATGTAAAAAATGGTTCATGCCATAGGAAGTCAAAATAGCAAAATTGCAGTACCTTATCCTACCCTGATCAAGTTCTCATGGATAATAGCTTGACATTTTGCAATTGAATATGTTTCTGTTTAAGTAAAGAAGCCGTTTTAGAAGCTAGAATTAAATTATTAATACCAAAAAATATTGGGAGATGTAAAAGTAATACAGATTTAAAACCAAACGTGCAGTAAAAACCATAAATAATTATTTGTGATGGCCTATCTTGTAGAGGAAGAAAGAAGCCAGTACCTCCGAGGAGAGTGAGCCCCCGTCACCTCCCCCTGCCCCGGCGGAAGATGTGGAGAAGGAGAAAAAGAAGAAGAAAAAGAAGAAGAAAGACAAAAATCAGGAAGCTGATGAGGCAGGGGATGCCCCAGAGGTATGGGTCATAGGTCATAAGGTCAAATGTTTAGAAATTGTGATGTATTATAGACAGGTTTGGAATATTGTAGCTAGACAGTTATTTTTTATTTCAGTTTAGAGTAAATAATCTCCATCCATAAGGGCATTTATTGGCCAATTCTGTAAACTTTGGGTATTGAGAATTAAATTAAGATTTAATTGCACATGATCTTTGTATTTGAAAGAAACTTTGAGACCTCTGTTAAATTGGTTTCCAGATGAGAATGTTGGAAAAATACTGAAATGCTGTATTGCATGTATTTTTTAAAATAAAAATATTACAATAAACCCATTATCAATTATACATTCCTCATGTGACCAGACATGTTATAAAGTTTAATATGTTTCATTTGTATTTCTTTAGGAATCGCCAGAAAAGAAGAAGAAAAAGAAAAAACACAAAAAAATAAAGACTGAGCCTGCAGAAAGTGACTGATAAACAATGTGTCTGTGTGTCTGTCTGTGTGTGAGGAGAAATCATCAGTGAGAGAGACAGAGTGTGAGAGTTTCATGTGGCATTTCTCAGTTTTATCAACAAACTACAGTCAAATGCTGTTAAGCCTGATTCATTTACATGTAGGTGGAATACGGTGACCTGATTTGACCAGGTTATGGATACTTGATGTGTTCATATTTTGTATATTTCTCTTTTATATATATGTTAAGAATGAAATGTGCTGTTAGTCTGTTAATAAAATTGTTTTCATTCATACTTGTCATTTATACATGCTCATTACTGCTTTAAAGCCACAGGACAGGTTTAGATACCATGTACGTGTCCAGGATTTTCTTTGTAGGGGAGGGGAAGGGGGGACGTTTCCATTTAAACATATCAAGTCAGGCATTATTGCTGATCCCCAAGAAAATTTTAACTTGTATTCTCTGAATCTCAAAATTCTTAAAGGGGTGTGTCTCCTTCAAGTGTATTAATGTCAATTACATTTGTTACATTTTACTAGGGCTCCACTTTTCCTGCATTTTATTTTGATGGAGGAATTTTGAGTATGTTTCCTTACTTTACAATTTTGCAAAAAATTTGGTATTTAATAGCAGACTGTGTGCTTGATTATATAGCATGAACATCAGTAACAGTTATACTGTTAAAAGGTATGAAGTGAAAATGCATTATTCTCTTTCTTTGTATGGGCAGCAGACAAAGTGCATTGACTGAATCGTCCACTGATTTTTCTGTTATTTCCCGATCATGACAAGAAGCACACGGCGGGTGTGGCCGGTTGACAGGGACACTTGTGTAGCTACCAACGACACAATGGTATTTCTTCACTTCTCAGTAATCGCCAAGACTTGCAGTATAATATTCATCTGATGTTTCCATGGCTTTTTTCCCACGTTTTGTGATATTTTACGTGCCAGTTTTCCTGGCACATAAAATATCAAAATTGTGAAGAAAAAAATCATCTTAAGGCAAAGACCCCTGTGTTTTAAGTAAATACGAGGAATATTTTAAACCTTTTTGTCATCAGGTGCCAGAGATCTTATTATTAATGTACGTGTATCATAGCTTAGGTATATTTAGGTCACCTGAGTAAACTCAGGTGACCTATTGCTATCACTTTTCGTCCGTCGTCATTCGTCGTGCGTCGTGCGTCGTGCGTTAACATTTGAACATTTTCAGCTTCTTCTCTGAAACCACTGAACCAATTTCAACCAAATTTGGCATATAGCATCTATGGGTGAAGGGGAACAAAAATTGTGAATTTCATGGGCCCTGCCCCCCTGGGGCCTGGGGGGTGGGGCAAAAACCACTAAAATTAGTGCAATCTTTAAAAATCTTCTTCTTTACTCCTGGACATCAAGCAGTCAAACTGTTTGCATGATTGTAATCAGCATTGAGTCCTCTACCAAAATTGTGAAATTCATGGCCCCGGGGTCAGGGGTTCTGGTGTTAGGGTGGGGCTAAATAAGTATATAGTGAAATTTCATGAATTCTTTGAAAATCTTCTTCTCTGCTCCTGGGTATTAAATAAACTAACTAAGTGCATAGTTATGATGAGCAAGAGTGCCTCTACCAAAATTGTGAATTTTATGGCCCCAGGGTCAGGGATTCTGGTGTTAAGGTGGGGCTCTATAGATTACATAGTGAAAATACATAAATTCTTTGAAAATCTTCTTCTCTGCTCCTGGGTATTAAATAAACTAACTAAGTGCATAATTATGATGAGCAAGAGTGCCTCTACCAAAATTGTGAATTTTATGGCCCCAGGGTCAGGGGTTCTGGTGTTAGGGTGGGGCTCTATAGATTATATAGTGAAATTTCATGAATTCTTTGAAAATCTTCTTCTCTGCTCCTGGGTATTAAATAAACTAAATAAGTGCATAGTTATGATGAGCAAGAGTGCCTCTTCCAAAATTGTTAATTTTATGGCCCCAGGATCAGGGGTTCTGGTGTAAGGGGAGGGGGGGCTCTATAGATTATATAGTGAAATACTTGAATTCTTTGAAAATCTTCTTCTGTGCTCCTGGGTATTGAATTAACTAAGTGCTTAGTTATGATGAGCAAGAGTGCTTCTACCAAAATTGTGAATTCGATGGCCCCAGGGTCAGGGGTTCTGGTGTAGGGGGGGGGGCTCTTTAGATTATATAGTGAAAATACATGAATTCTTTGAAAATCTTCTCTGCTTCTGGGTATTAAATAAACTAAATAAGTGCATAGTTATGATGAGCAAGAGTGCCTCTTCCAAAATTGTGAATTTTATGGCCCCAGTGTCAGGGATTCTAGTGATAGGGTGGTGCTTTATTGATTATACAATGAAAATACACTAAATCTTTGAAAGTTTTCTTCTCTGCACCTTGGTATTAAGCAGATGAACTACCTATGTAGTTATGATGAGTTAGGGTCCTAATCTTCCAGAATTGTGAATTTCAAGGCCCAAGTGTCAGGGGTACCATAAAGGAGGGGGGGGGGCTGTACTTATATACTGAAACTGGATAAATTGTTTGAAATCTGCTCCTTGGTATTTATCAAATATTTTTGAAAAGCAAGGGTGCCTTTTCAAAAATTGTGCAATGTGTGGATCTAGGCCTAAGGGTCAGGGGTTCATGTGTGATTGGGGCATTACTGATCATGCTGAATATTACTGATTACTTGAAATGCATTTTTTGTTTCCCTACCCTGCCTATGGGTATTAAGTAAACAAACTAAGCAACAGCTAAGTGTATTGTTATGATGATCAATGGTGCCTATTTCAAAATTGTGAATGCCATAGCATCTGGATTATAACATGAATCAAATTCAATCACTGGAAAGTTGTTGCATAATGCTCAGGTGACCTATAAGGCCCATGGGCCTCTTGTTTCAATATATAGTCTCGGGTCTTTTTTGTGTGAAGAAAAATATTTCCATTCATAGTTACATGTAGCTGTATATAAAGTTTTGAAATACTAATACTTTATCTTTTTCTAGTTTCAAAAATTCTATGCCTTTGTGAATTCTTTCTTGGAAAAATGCTTTGAAAAGCTTATTAATAGTTTTATTGCAGTCACTTTGATGCTTTGCATTAACTGTTAACACATTATTTATAAAATATTGTTTAAGAGATCTCTTTGAAACGGAGGGCAAAAAATGAGGGGGGTGTTAATGTTGCTCATCAGCGTTATGCTTTTCAACAAAGCTAATTTGCAGTTGGACCTCCTCAATAAATTATTTAAAAGGAAATCCAAGGTGATACAATTCTATTAAAATTATAAATTACCGGTAAAAATCCTAAAATCTGGGGTATTTTTGTTTGTTTGTTTTTACTTTATTTAATTTATATTAGGTATATTTAGTATTAGGCTATTATATTTTTTTTTTACTTGTCAACAATTTCGGTAACAGGTTCGTTCGCCCGATCTACCTGTTCGCGGCAGTCCGTTCGCGCAGGGTCCGTTCGCCCAAAAATTTCTTCGCCCAATAAAAGTTTCGCCTAATACTTATATATTATATTATATATACTTACATATATTAACTTATTTGAAATAAAGATTAACATATATTTTTATTTCCTTTACGAACTTGGGTTAAATTATTTTTTCTCAAACCAGGAACAATGTTTATTTAGTCTTAATTAATTTTTGATTTGATTCTAATGCATTTATTAATTATTTAGTGTTTGCACTTTAGTTAATTAGATGACTAATATCAATGTTAATTGGAGGGATACACCCCTGTTGTTTTTACGAATTGGGCTATGTTTTCACAAATATTAAGGGACTGAGACGTAAAAAGATCCCTTATAGAACTGAGCAGCGGATCCTGAAGGTTTTACCTTTGAAGAATCTCCCTTTGATCTCATAAAATGATTGATAAGAAGATGGAAGATGAAAATTCAACAGGCCTGTCAGGTCTTTGATAGAGCATGTAGAATAGAATAGAATAGAATATCATTTATTTCCAATTTTGGGCCCATGATGAAGGGCATTCAAGAAAAATACAACATAAATAAAATATAAAGGTAAAAGAGAGGAAGAGATCCAAATGATAGTTGAATTCATATGCAACAATGAATATGTATAATATATGATAAAAGTACACAAACGCAAACATTATGCCACATCATGCAGAAATTTTAGTGGATATCTACCTTGTTTGCATATTATATCATTCTCGACTTTCAGGAACATCCCGAGACAACACTGGATCTTTTATTGTAACATTTAAATATATATTCTGCAAAACTATTTATTATATCACTTCTTTCATTTGACATTATTCATATAAATTTATTTCTATTTGAGAGTGAGGAGAAATTTTTATTTTCTTCACTTATATGACTAATGAATACTTGCCTATATAGTTTATAAGTTGAACATTCAAATATAAAATGGATTTCATCTTCTACAGAGTCTGAAGCACAAAGTTTACACTTTCGGTCTGTGGCAGGCACATTTCTGTATCTGCCAGTTTCAATTTCAAGCTTATGTGAACTAATGCGGAAGTTTGTAAAACATTTAAGAACTTCTGGTTTTGATATCATAGAAAGATTTTTTTCTTTTATTAGTCTTGTTTTGTATAATCCATATGTTCGAAGTTTGCCTTTTTCATTTCTAACACACTCTGATAAATTATTTTGCCATATATTAGTAAATCTTCTATTTAGTTCATTATAAACTATTGATGGAAGGTTTTCAGCCAAGACGTTGTCACAGGATATGTAGTATGACCCTATGTGACATATGCACAATCAGTCAGTATTATTTCGAATGTACCAAAAATGTACAAAGAAATTCATTATATTATATTCTAGCCTATATAAAATTTGGGCGAACGGACCCTGTGCGAACGAGAAATCGGGCGAACGGGATATCGGGCGAACAATTTTTAGGGCGAAGGAACATGGAACCAACAATTTCAATAGGTAATGCTCTTCCTGACCAAATTACTGTTTAAATGCTCATACAACGATATTTTTCTAAGATCTTTTTTCACAGAAGTAAATTCTTTGTCCAACTTGCGTACTTTAGGCCTATCAATAAAAAAAAATCAAACAAAGGAACATAACTCGTCTATGAAGGAGGCATTCGGAAATATTAGGTCACTTGCGTATGGAAAATGACAGAGTATATTCCGAATGAGAATTGGTTACCAAGGAAGTAGATCCTTTTGTCAACAAAGAGTTACGGAGCGCGAAAATGTGCGGACTGTGTAAAGGCGCAGAGATAGAAAAAGCAAAATACACAAGGAAGAAAACATCCAGACAGGTTTGGTCCATA